ACCAACCACATTTCAAAACCAACACTAAAATTTCAAATCACAGCATGGGACACTTGACCAACTTAAACGTACACCAACCAATGATATCCCCTTATTACAAGACACGCGCGTATGGAAAATCTTATAACTGGGCTACTGCATATAAGAATTGCAATAATGTGGACAAAATCATGATGTCTTTCACTTTAAAACCTGGCACCCAAGAGTATAAATTAGAAGTTACAAATGTCACAAAAATAACCTTGTGGCAATTAATTACATGTTATATCAAATACGAGTCACATGCTCACAATTTTCAAAATAATGCCCTAAAGCTGGCAAGCATACATATACTAGACTAAAAAGGGCCGAATAGGCTAATTGGTGTCAACTCATACCAAAGTAAGCTTTTGGTGCTTCCTTGGTTGAACCATTCCTCATGAAAACATTATCCATGAGGAGTAGGACTTAAAAGGTTCAGTATCCAAAATTAATATGCAAATATGCATGTAATGCAACCTATCATGCGATTGCTAAGTGAGAGGTACAGAGTGATTTCCAAATAATGGATATTCAAATAAAAACCAAACAAATGATATTTTAGTATGACAACACCCTGTGTCCCTCATAACTGCATGCTTAAAACAAAATTATCTGACCAAATGTAAGTTGGTCCAAGCTAAAGAGCTACTTATTGAGTTAAATAAGGGCTTACCACGTGGTAGGAGTCTACTCCAGACAAAACATCCTCTCCAAACAACCTTATGCTTCAAAGCAACCAGACAAAAACACAGCTAAATAGTTCACGCGCGTGCGCGCACACGCACACACATCCAAATACAAGTCACATCCAAACAAAATACATTATTTACACATGCAATAATCATCCTACTCGGTGAATATTTTCTAAACAATAAAAACATACTTTTCTTAACACTTTTACTGCCAAGCAAACAAATACACTTAAAAAATTATGAAGCATGTATAGTCATATATTAATAGTGGTCACCTTGCTTCCTTACCATTAAGCTCCCTGTATAATAGCACCTTCCTCAATGTTTTTACTGTAACAGCCCTCCGCGCACCCCGCCTCTCCGAGGTCTTTTGCGGTGCTGAACACTCTCCCCCCAGGCCCCATAACAAGGGCGACCCCACCCCTTACGATGAGCATCAGGAGACAGAAGCTTCCCCGCAGTAGTGTGCAGGATTATTCCCCTTGCGGAGAGCCTCCCCAGATTCGATCCTCCAACCTCTCTTACATAACAAAGTTGAGGCTGAACCTGGTACCATTGAGTCAAGTATATTTGTAACACACCAATTTTTTTTTTAAATAATTTAACTCAACCATAGTTGGGTTATAGCCATCCAACACATTTTTATATCAATAAATTCAATATAAAAATATTTTATAATTGGCTTAAATTTGCACAATACAACATTTCAGATAAATTTTTACCTCCCACATGCCATTAGGCTAAATCACATTTGTCCATCCTTATACTCCCAATAAGTAAAATAAATAATTTAGTTAACTTTCAAAACAAGCCAGTTATTTGGCATCATAATCATGCCATTTTAACAAATCCAAAGTAAATCAAATATTAAAATTACTGTCATCTAAAGTGTACCAAAAATATAAATAGTTTGAAAGGCATAATTATATTTATATATTCATATAATTGTCAATAAACAAAAAGCCATAATATCAGTAATATAACACATTATAAATCATAAATTAAATACCCAAAAGAGATAGTGGATCTATGCCACTAAGCCTCTGGGACTCCTCCACGTGTCACTCGTGGCTCTTCTCCTGAAAATTGTTAACCACATAATGAGACTCAAAAGTTCCAGTAACCAATACCAATTTATGATTGTATGTACAAATAGTTAAGTGTGTGCTTACTAAGTGGGAATAAAAAATAATATAATTCCAACAAAATATAAGAAATATTACAATACACACAAACAACCATCCTTATATCCCTCAATTAACCTCGAGCTGTAGCCCTCACTCGGTGCTAAATTACCCGGCCAAAGGTAGATTAGCCCGAGCCCTTACAAGCCACCTATTGAGCTCCAACAAGGGCGTATCATGTGGCATATAAATATAACAACAATAGCAAGTCTCCCAACACCTCCCACAATAATCAAATAAATTCATAATAATATTGTACAATTATACAATATTACAAAATTCATAATTTTCTCAATAATTACCCAATTAACATGAAGTAACACTAATCACAAATTAAAAGTATGGTTACCTCGTGGCTTTTTTAATAAATTATTCCTTATAAATTTCTCTCCTACCACAATTTTCACCAACAACACAATCTACAAATAACATATTATTTATAAATATTAGTTTCAATTATTGAAACTAATAAAATAATTCTAATAATAGAATTAAAAAATATGACATAATTTCTAATCTCAATCTTTATACAAATTTAGAGTTAATACTATTAAGAAAAATTTTTAACTCCTCTTTTACTCATCAATAAACATTAATAATCTAAAAATTAAATTTTAAACTAATTTCTATTATCAAAATTTTCTTTTTATTTTATAAATTCGCAACTAAAATATTTAAAAATTAAAAATTGAGTTTTTAGTTTAGAATTATAATCCTATAGCCATAATAATTCATTTCTCATCCCAAATAATCATCTAAACCTCAATAAATCAACATATATTTTCAGATCTAATTTATAATTTGATCCATAAGCCACAAATTTAAAGATTATCAATAAATTTATACTCTAGAACATTTATTATACTACTAACAACCTCAAAAACTATATTTATTCAACATAAATTCATCCCTCTTCCAAATCCTAAATTTTTTACCACCACAAACTCAGAAACCAAAGAGGAAGGATCACTAAAAAATTTTTTTAGAATACATACTTGATCTTGAAAAGCTTGAAATCACACCCTAAATATCCTATTAAAAACTCTTACCTTAAAAATTCAGATCTCTCGCACCGGCGACACACGCTCACAGACGCTCTCTCTGATCGCACACGAAAGAGGAAGGAAATGAAGGAAAATGAGAACAGAACGGTGGCTTTTTTAAAAAATAAATGTGGGTCCCACAACTTTTTTTTTATTGTTTCCTCTTTCCTCTCTTTTCTTTCTCTTTTTATTATTATTATTATATAAACATAACCATTGCATCGGAGAGCACGAAAGTTCACTTCTTTTTCTCCCTTTTTTTTATTCATACCTTTTTCTTTTTTTTATAATAATAATAATAGTTTAATAATATATTTTTTAATTAATTAATTAATTTATTTTTTTTAAAAAAATTTAATTTAGAATTATATCTTAAGTTAGATTTAATAATTATTTTCTACTAATTTGCTTACCTCTAAATATTTTTCAAAATTTCTATTAACCCAAATTAACTATTAAAATTTAAATTAAGATGTTACAATGAGGATTTAAAGTGAAGATGGAGCACACTATAAGAACTTAAAACACTAAAAATAAAATATAAAGATTAATAACAAATCACATATCAAGTGTAAAAATTGAAAGTTATATGTTTCCTATCAATTAACATTGGCTTTCGACATTTATTGAATTGGGTTTTCATACGAGCTCAAAACATTTTCAGCATAGTGCAAGAAATCGTTTTCTTCGAAGAGAAAAAGAAACACTTAGGCTGACAAAATAAAAAGTATCTAGATATTTTGAATTTTTTAATAATCAATAGATAAATAATGATGATAATAACCATCAATTTCAATATAAAAATATAAACAAAAATTTGGATTTTTTTTAACTTTACACAAAATTATATTTAATTTTTTAATTTATAAGGTATCTCTATATTGCAAACAAAATTGTAATATTTTTTAGTTAAATAATTAACTTCATTATTTTTTTAAAAAAATAATATAATATAATAAATTTTCTTAAAACATGTAAAAGATGTGGGGAGGATGAAATATATATATATATATACTCACTGTAAAAAGTTAATTAATATACTCTTTTTTAGGGACTGTCATATACTCTTTTTTGAGTGATTATAATAAATAAATTATTTATATTCATTTTAAAATAAAATATTTTATTAAATAAAAAAAATATAAAAAGATAATATCAGTTAAAAATAATTATTTATTTTATTTTTTTCAAGAGTAAAGTTTAATTAAAAATATTTAATTATTTTTTTAAACAGAAAATAGACTATCGACTGAAGGGTAGAGGCTATGTATATTCATATTCAGGGCTTTTTTTAATCAGGATGTCCGGCTTGCAGGAGGGAAAGACTCAATGATTCATTTTCGTATAAAGCTGTAATTAGCCCTCTGGTGGTTAAATGATTAACAAATGAAATGACATGACGGGATAATGTCACTAAATTTAGATAATTTTTATCGATTTTATAAATTCTGAATTTGAAGTGTTTTATTATTTTATATTACCTGTTCTTCCTATACCAGTATACCCCTTCCGATCAGCTTTATTAAACGCATTTTAAAAGTTGAATTTTATCTTTAATATAAATCTTTAACTGATGGTGAGTCTATATCTTAAGACTAAATTTTTAAAATACCTTTACTTTTATAACTCCAACGCTCTTTATTCATTTTGGCTCATCTTCCAAAATTTTGTTTTATTTATTATCAATTTTTTTTCTTTTTTATTATAAAGATCTTAAAATAGGAGAGAAAGATATTAAAAAATAATATCATATTAATTGATTATACGCTTTGTATTTTTATTTTAAAAGCTAGTTTTAAAATTTTATTTATAATTAATTTTTGTATTGTTATTGTATTGATATTAATAAATTTAATAAAAATAATTTATAAATAGAATTGGAAGGAATTACTTATTATAATTTCTTTTTCTGAATAAAAAATTATTTAATAAATAATTTAAAATACTATATACACATTAAAATAAATATCGCATTGATTTATCGGATCAACGCGTAAGGTTCGCACGACCATCGTCTCTATTTCTCTCTCCGTGTTATTTTATTGACAAGGTCCACCGTCACTTTATTCTTTAGTTGTTGAAGAAGCATCAATTGCTGGCATGGGAATTTAGGCTTTACACTTTGCAGAAAAACGGGAGGGCAGAGCGGGCGAAATATAGAAGCTCCGCTGATCGGATTTCCTCCTCTCCCCCTCCAATAATCCCGGAAAATTTGCCTGCTCTCTCCTTTTTTATCACGGGCTTCCCGCCAATTCGGCTTCGCCATCTGAGGAAGCTGGGAGAAAAAAACCTAGTCACTGTACGAACTTCGTTTCCCCCTCTTTCTTTCTCTCATCTTCGCTGAAGTTTTTCGGATCCCGAGCCTCACATTACTGATTTCCATATAAATACATGACCTTTTTTTTTAATTTTTTTTTTCTTGAAGTTACCATCTGAACGTTCTAGCTGGAGAAATTCAGCTGTTCTTTGGCCAAGCAAACGTCTTTTTCCTTTGATATTCTTCCTAGTGTTTGTTTAATCGATTCCCAGCTGTTGAATGTGGTTTTCCTCATAGATGGATCAGTTTGGTGTGTTAACTGCAAGTTATGGGTTGAAGCCACAAGGAAAATCGGCTCCTATGGCATCAGCGAAACAAACCACAAATTGCGGTGGCTCGCAAACAGGAAATTTCGGCATCAATCCAAGTCTACACTCCAAATCTGCCCAATATGGATCAAGATCTCCTCAACATCCCTCTTTTGATTATGGTTCTTTTCTCGACGATCATAATTTAGCTTTTGGATCTATTGGCAATAAGAAAACCCAGAATTGGGGGAGTCTCGGTGATGAGATTGCTGTTCCAAACAAACCCGCCTCTCAATCGAATGCTGGTGATGGCGATTCATCTGATTATGATCCAATTTTCATGGGGTCGAATAATCCGGTGTCAACGCCTTCAGCATCGAATAGTTATGTTGATGAGATATTTGGTGGAATACCTGAACTTAAGAGCTCGATTCCTGCCAAAATTGACCCCGGCCTTCCGGCATTTCCTTCGCCAACCAAGCAGAATGTTCCTATCGTCGATTTACTAGATAAAATTTGTTCGCTGCAATCAAAATCCAAAATTTCTAACAAGAAAGGGTCGCTCGCCAAGCCGGTACCTGCGTTTGATGACTTGATACCTGGATTTGGTGGGAGCAGTATTACAAACAATAGGTATAGTACGCTTATTCATTCTTCTATTCGCGTGTGATTTTCTAATAATAACATCACAAGTGAATAATTTTTACAATTTAGCTTCGAATAATTATATTTTTTGAAGGAAATTTTTAGTGCTATAATTTTTTTGGAGAATATGATAAGATATAAGAACATGGAGTCCAGACCTTCCTATTTTTTCATGGGGTACGAATGTCCCCTGGCGTAGCGGTCCCTGGTGATTAGCACAATTTTTTCCGTTCTCATTAATCATAATTATTCTGTCGCACCAAGTTTTGAGGTGTAAATGCAGCACCTTTTTTAATATTTTTTATATTGACTTCTAGCTAATAATGGCATGCAATAGCACGGGAACTAGCAAATTGTACAAATTTGACAACTGTGACATTTTTTCGCAAGTTACAAGCATAATATCGTTTTCTCAGCAAATTTGAGAGGTGTGAAAAATAAATGCCAAAAGATCATTTCTCTCCTGGAAAGATAGATGTGTCAAGGATGTATTATATATGCGGCAGAAATGCAGCTTTGATAATAATCTTGCAGGGAAACATAACATAGTGTGTGTGCTTTGATTACATAACATGTCTTTTCCATCTGCAAGTGATTTAAATTGTTTATTACATGAATTACAAATGAAGATGTGCATTTTCCCTAAACTTTTCCATTTGTGGCTGTCACCATCCGATTAATCACACTGCGTTAATGCTTATTTGGTTTTTCAGTAAAGCACCTACCGAGGTGAGTAGGCCTAGGAAGCAGACGATAACTTCACATGATGACCCGTTTTTGGTATTTGAAACAACCTCAACAAGTGAGTCTTCAAGATCATTCGCAGACCCACTAGAACAGATGGGGAAGTTAAATAATTACGGAGGCACAAGAGGCAGCTCCAATACCCCATCATTGAGACCTCCACCAAAACCTACTAATGGTTTAAATATAAATAAAGGTTGTTCTAAATGCTCAAGTTAAGATCCATGAACAGTTGTAGGCTCTAATCATTGACTTCAATAAGTAGTTCCCATAATTTTTTATGATGCAGTTAACGGCTCAGTTGTATCATCATCAATAGATGAACTTGAGAAATTTGCCATGGGCCAGGTGCAGAATAGTTCTAGAGCCCATATTCATGCTCGTGAAATTAAACAAAAGTCAGTGGCTAAGACAAACAAAAGTAAAGCAGCTCCTGATTCTGCAAAAGTGGATCAAATGAAAACCGTGGATGATCTTGAATCATTTTTCAGCACGGGTTCTCGATCAAGCAGTGCACCAAAGTCAAGGGCCACGACATTGGTAATAGCTTTTAAAATAACGAGTTTAAATGTTTCGGCAACACTGGCAGATCATATTCAGTCCAGTTTTTTATTTTCATTTTTTAATTGATGCATTGTTTAGGATCAAACATTTGATGCCCGGATGCAAAACAAAAGGAGACCTGAAGTGCCTCAAAGAGTGCCATCGGGATCCACAGCCAGTATGAAGAAATCTTCGTTGTCAACATCGTTTGATGATCTTGCACTGATGTTTGATTGTAAGTTATTGTTTGAGTGTATCAGTTTCTATTGACTATCTTACTTCACAGCATATTGATCTGTTCCTTTTGGTTGCAAAAGCCTCCTTATCATCCAAATTTGACGAAGTTGATGGGGACAACGAGGAAAGACGAAAAGCAAGACTGGGACGTCATCAAAGGACACAAGAGCGAGCGGTGTGTAATATTATCTTTACAAAAATTATGTTTTTTTACCTGTTTCCTAGCCTTGTTTATTATTTGGTCTTGCAGAGACTAGAGACTCAGCATAAGATATTTGCACAAGTGCATTTGACCATTTTTGGCCTAGAATATCTTTGTAATTGTGGACCTGGAGCACATGACATCTCTGTATTTCGTACTTCAAACTATATACCGGACATTAAAACTTAGCATCATAAAAGAACAGGCTTTTCTTTAAAAGGTTTTTGCTAGGGTGATTTATTGTTCAGTTAGTTGTCATATTTTCAGGCAAAGGCAGTGGCTGATATGAAGCAGCGGAACCTACAAACCACAATGGAGCAAGAAGAGAGGCGTGTAAGTTTCTATGGTGTTTTACTCACAGAGATTTTTTTTCCAAGGGATATTATTGTATCATTTTCCAGATATTGATTCTGTAATTGCTAGATTATCTGAACAGTATGGTTCCATGACATATTTTGTGGGTGGTTTGTTATGCCTTTCATTCTTATGTTTTTCTTATTCCGGTATTTTTGTTGCATTTTCTTAGTGTAGAATTTGATTTTAATTTGGCAGAGAATCGCTGGAACTCTGGATGCTGAAATAAAGCAATGGACTGCGGGGAAAGAAGGCAATATGCGGGCTTTGCTGTCAACATTGCAATATGTGTGTTCTCTTGCTATCATGCTTGTAAAATCTTTGCTGTGCTTTGGGAAGATGTGTACTTTTTAATGTGGTATGATTTGCTTTCTTAGCGGCTGTTGTAAGAAATCAGATTATCATGGTATGAAAAAAGGAAATAGAGGCATCAGGTGGTTTGACTGTGATGGCTTAGTGGATGTGGATCCATCAGACTTTTTGTATACTCATTTATTTAAGGCTTGGATTTCAGAAAAGTGGTCACCAGGAATTGTGAGGCAGGATGATAAATTTCCTTCCAGAATAGAAAAAGATACAAATGCAAAGGAACAGTAGATTACATGTTGGGTATATTGAATAGATGAGCAAATTGAATGTTCTGTTTCTCTTTAATTTATATTTAAATTGTATGTAACTTGTGAAATTAATGGCAGGCCAAATAAAATATATTGAATAAGATGCGTCTATTTCATGGCATTAAAATCTAGTCAGAAGTATCTTTTAGGAAGGGATGAACGGATCTGATTAATTGTTGAATAACTATTTGACAAGAAAGATACATTTATCCTTCTACAAGGAAACTTGAGATAGTGTATGATTTTTGTGATTTGCTGATGCTCTCCTCAGTTGTTTCCAAAGTCTGTTGAGACATTCTTGTGTTAGCTTGTCCACTGATGGTAAATGATTGGGCTTTAGATGTAGAGGAAGATAATCTAGACTGCACCATATGAATTTCAGCCCAGAAAAAGACTGCACTATATAAATAACTAAACTATGATGCTTCTAAACAACGTTACTTCCATATATTTTTACCTTCAAAAGCCTGTTTAGCAGTTGCAAATACTGAAGGAGATCTCGTTGCTGTATTTTGACATGATAAATGATTGTTTCCTGTGATAACTGTCTCTTGAATTTATAAGCAGGTGCTCTGGCCTGAATGTGGTTGGCAGCCGGTGTCTCTGACAGATGTTATTACTTCTGCTTCTGTCAAAAAAGTTTATAGAAAAGCAACACTATGCGTTCACCCAGATAAAGTTCAACAAAAAGGTGCTAGTCTTGAACAGAAATATATTGCAGAGAAGGTTTTTGACATCCTTAAGGTATGTTATATAAATAAGAAATAATTTAATTTGCTTAGGAGTCCTTTATTTATTCTACCTGTCCCCAAATAAAGTTAAATGTCACTATTCTATTTATGTTTTCTGATATGTTAGATGTTTTACTAGAAAATCTACCTAGCTTCTGTCGCTAGCATTGTTCACTTTCATATCTAAACACACTTATATATATATATATATATATATATTTTATAGCTACTAATGCCCTTAAGAGTCTTGAGCCAGAAGTGAACTAATCTCATCCGTTCCCCTAAACTGGTGTAGCCCAGGCCAATATATTCTACCTTTTTACTGCTGTAGAAATTAACTGGACATTACTTTAGTTAACGATATATGATGGTTTGGAGTTTGTTGGACATCAATTGAAGATCGGGCACGTCCTGTGGTTATCCAAGCAGACTCCTGAATCTTCAATCTATTAAAAAAAAAAAAAAAAACTGTTTCAACATTTCTTTTTTATTATTTAATATTGGAGTGTCATATTTATGGTTATTGCCTTTATTGTATTTCTTACTTCTCTGATTACGAAACAGGAAGCTTGGAACAAGTTCAATGCAGAAGAGCTTTCTTAGATCTCCTGGCTGAATTGTTCTTGGGAATTAATATACCTATCCAGGACAAGCCCCTTTTCTTTCTTGGCACTAACTCACCTGCCAGCTGATAGATTATTATACTGTTGGGATAAATATTTCTTGGCATCGGTTGGCTGAGAAAATCGTCACGCAGAGTAATGTTGATTGAGGATTCTTTGTAAATTTAAACCAGTCCCCTACGTCATGTAAACAAGAGCTTATCAGACGTAAAGAAATACATGATACATACATACATACATACACATATATAGTGGGAAAGGGGAGAATTCATTCGATTGCAAGTTGTAGCTATTGTCATGATATTTCTCTTGATATGATGAAACAATAGAAATTCTTCAATTGATTTTTGCTTTGAAGTAGTGATTTGTGTGATTATGATTCCTCGATTGGTTATTTTATTGCAAGTGGTTTTTCTTCTATCCATTATTGAAAAGCTAAGCAGGTTATATGTTGATAGAGAACCATATTTAGATTGATTAGCCCTCTTAAATTATTGCGAAATTGAGGGTGTGATCGTGCATCGAAATTAGTTGGCAGGAAATATATCCACCGTTATTGTTTGACAGCTACAGTTGCTCATTTCATTAGCTTTCGCAGATGGTTGGTACTTGAGACTCTGGAAATTGTGGATTTTACGATAAAAGTCCTCCAATTGTGCCATACGACTGGGGAGTTTAAAGCTTATTGCATGGGAATTGGAAAAACAAATTTCAACTAGAATTCCATATCTCGTCATTTCAGTCTGTTTTCTCCCATCTATATCCTTCATCTTAGAGATGCTTATTCTCAAGTGGGCTGCAGTTCAATCCAGACCTTTCTCTTTCTGTGTCCACCTGCATTTTTTTTTTTGGGTAGCCCATCTGGTTCACCGAAGCTTTGTCTCGATTACATCCGGATCCGACCTGTGTCGCGCACCTGGCATGGTGGATGAGTCTTCTAGCAGGAATTTTCTGCATACACAAGGTTCGGACTCGAGACTTTGCTTTAAGCGAAACAGAGTCGCTTACCACTCAGATCAACTCTCCCAAAAAAAACACCCAAAAAAATGCTGTTCATTATTTTGCATGCTAGACGATTTAAATCATGTCGGAGAAGTTCAATTCTTTTGGGTCTTTCAGTTTTCCTATTATTTAGTTATTTATTTGGCTTTCCATGAAGGCTTTGTTTACTCTTTTAGCCACAGTGCTGTGAAATTTTGTCAAGTTTTGCATGGTTAAAGATAAATTATTTTGTTCGATTCTACAACTTTGTTCAAATGTTATATATGCTTTCATAATCTGGCACTCATTTTAGTTCTCATGATTAACATACGTTACATCATATATCCTTTATTTTTTAACTTTTAGTTTTATTTGTCTGAATATATTTTTTAAATGCAAAAATAATATAATGATAGTATCATTTAAAATGTAGAGATAAGAATTAAATTAAATATTTATAAATTTATAGGGAAATTAACAGTGACAGGGCCTTGGCAAAAATAATTGATGTCAGAGATATGGACCACTTGGCTACTTTGGGCCATGAGACCCAAGTGAAAAATTAAAGTGTAAGATTATGTGGACCCCTCGTCAATGCGTGTCAATGTTGGCCTATTTGCCACAAATATTCAAATAAATAATTGCAAAAGGTTCCCACTAAAAACAAAAAAGCGAAAATCGACAGATCCAACTCCAGACGCAAAAAAGGGGCGGAGGGGCAAAATTGCAACAGCGACAAATTTTAAAAGAGCCTCAGAAACATTTTCTAGGGCCTTAGGGTCATTTTCTTTTTCTTTCTCTTTTTCCTTTCACTCCAAATGATCTGCAACCTTCTCGAGCTGTTAGGCATTGAATATGCAATAATAAAAAGGACGAGCTAGAAGTTAAAAAAAAATTGATGCATTTTATTTTTAATATTTGATGAATTTATAAATATTTAAATTGAAAATAGTTCCTGCCCACTTTCATTAGGGGGAGCATCTCAACTACAAGAAATTCTCTGCGCATTCCTTCCTATTCACGTCGTGGGGATTATTATATTATATTTGGGTTGTTAAAATTTAATATTTTATAAAATTATTATTCAAATACTAAATTATAATAAATAAAAAATACATATAAATTATTAAAATCAAAATTATATTAGAATTACAATAGAGGGAAAATTGAAAAAAAAAATCATTTTTACAGATATTAAATTTCAACCATTGATCTAGACAAGCATGGATAGAAGGGAAAGGAAGGTGGGGTGGAGGGGATCTGAACTATGGAGGAGTGTGTCTAGGTGAGATGTATGCCAAGGAGTGGTTTTATTTGGGCAAATGTGTTGACAGTGAGTTTGGGTCTATTGGTATTTGAAACTGCACCAAATCTATTATTTGAATTTTTAAAAAATTTTAAATGTTATATATATATATATATATTGTAATTTCAAAACTTCTATACATCTTAGCTATTTAAAAGTTCAAAATGACTCCCTTCTCACTCTCCTCCCATTTTCATTTTCTTTTTATTTGAAATTTGTTATGCTACAGAAATAAAAAATTTAAATATATATATATATATATATATTTAAAATTTAAAATTCAAATCCAAACATTACTTGAAATTATTTTTGTTCCGAGTGTTCTGGAAATAAAATTTGGATAAAAATGTACGAGATATTCACGATTCCATCATCATCTTATATTAAAGTGAAAATAAAAGATATTTTTCATCATACAATGATGAATTATCACTTCGTTCTACATTTTGCTGTGATATTGACATATATACATACATATAAGTGGGACCCGGGGGGGGGGACACAATGAAGAAGGAGGAATAGAGCAGAAGTCCGACCCTGGGAGTACCATAAAATAGTCATTTCCGGCCTATTGTATTAGCTGGAAATCATCATTTGCGCATATAAAGTGGATTCTGCTGTAAATTAAAGCGGCCAATGAATCTGGGCTTTCCCTTGGTGTTTGGAGATTCTTGTTTAATCCTCCATTACCAATAATTAATGGCTTTATTGGTCATAAAGATAAAGCAGTCACACTTGAAAGCCAACAAGTATGGAGCTCAGAAACTTCCCATATAGTCCCACTCAGTTATCTATCGCCCACTTACCCACTAACAATCCTCATAGTCAAAAAGAGAATAACATGCGAAGCACTGCGAGTAGAAAAATCAGCACTCCAGAATTCTTGAGTGTCAGGCCCCACCACTTCTCAGGCAGACTTTCCGGCGGTAGCCACCCCACCATTTGTGTGTGTGTGTAGCCTCTTTTTATCCCTTTCAAGGGCTTTCTGTAACTCCTAGCTTGCTGGTTGTTTCAAACAAATTTTATATTAATTACCAATTAGTGATCTTAAAAGGCCAAATTCCATTTCTTTTCCTCTTTCCCTCTAATGCACCAATGAAGAAGCTGTGGGAAAGCGAGAACTTGTCACTAATAGTAATAGCCTAATAGGTATATTTCCTTTCCATGGGCATTAAGAGGTCAACCCTCTAAAGGGACAAGGCATTAACTTAATATAATGGAAAGAGGATTCCCATGGGACTTTCTCCGGTTGCATAGAGGAAGATTCCTTTACAAATATGAACTCCAAGAGAGGAGAGCTCAACTAGGAAATCACCGAAGATCAACAAAGCAAAGCTGTTGTTTTCAAATATAATAAAGAAAGGGCTCTCTCCACATGCTGGGTTCCTTCCTATCATGTTGTACATATATGAATCACTTTCAATCTGTGCCACTTCACATGACTCTTGATCCATCCTAGTTATTACTTACATATCTAATGACCAAAATGGTCCACCAACAGCACCATATCCTGCTTGGCTCTTTTCTTGCTTTTGGAAATCAAGATCAAAACGGCCCTCTTGCACGTTGGATCCTCTTGCATGGATAAAAAGGTGATCAAGATCAGCACCACCCCCACTCAGTACTCTCTCAGATATTATCTTATTGTGTATGCAGAGGGGCAGGTGACCCTAAGCATGTAAGACATATGGCTGCAACAGTGAGGCATCGCTTTCAAGTTTGGATGGAGGTGAGTGAGATTGGGTATGCGGCGTGCAATGGATGGTCCAGATTGAATACGATTCCCTCCGTCTTCGAATTACAATTTCATTATGATGTGTGTTTCATACATGTGCACTTTCAGTGGTGCATATGAAGGCACCACTTTTCATTCTTTTCTCGATGTATATCTTATAAAGATGCCATTTTCTCTCTTCTTCTCTTCTTTCTTACAAGTGTTTTGCTTTCCTGAACGCTCCATTCTTGCGGGCAATGAGATTCTATCTATTGAATTAACTAAGTAGTTGCGTCTTCGTTTACCTGTGCTTGATTATATTGGCCATTTATTAGTTTCCTTTGATAATCAAATGCAAATGTCAACTACACTGGTGCTTGCATATCAACCAACTTCTCCTTGGCGGCTTGGCCCATCTTCCTGACCAATCATTCACCTAATGGAATATATTGTGTTATTTTCTTTTAATAGAAAAGGGTTGGGGGGGCGGGGGAAGGGTTACGATGTGCTTCTGGAAAATTCGAGTCCTTTTCTCAACTCCTCTATTCTTTCGGGAATGCCTGTCAATGCAAAATAAGTAAATCGCAGGATGCTGCACAGGACTATGCTAGCTCTTTTAATTTTTTAAGCTTCGACGCTTTAATTTTTTAATCTACCGTTTGAATCCTTCTTCAAAAGCAGTGCTTTGAGAAAATGAAATTATTGATATCCACCAATAGTGGATATATGTCGTATATATCTTGACGTGCGTTATTAATGTAAAACCGTACATATTTATACACTGTCAAGTTGGAATCTGCAAAAAGAATTTGGCGAAAAATTCATTCACACTTGACTTCAGTCTGCATTTTTATGTTACAATTAGCTAGACCAACGGGTCTAATTAATCTCGTTTTTAATGTATTTAAACCCTCTAAATTTAACATTGATGAATTTATGTAAAACTTTACTTTGTAAGAAAATTGTACATTTTATAAAAATAATAAAATGATTAAAAATACTTCAAAAAAAAACTTTATTGAAATTTACCAATACCCATTTTAGAGTATTTGAATCTGTTTTTTTTTTCATATTGGATTTTAAGAAGCAATAATAAGAGTCGTGTTAAGTGATCAAGTTACCGACCAACTGGAAGGAAAATTTTAAACGCGAGCAAGAGATTTTGAGGTAATGCTCCATTTCTTGCATTTTACATCGGATTGCATAGCGGAGTTACAGAGCTAGAGGACGCTTGAAAGAGAAAAAGAGAAGAAAATACAAATAAGAGGATCGGTGATTAAGAAAGGCTACTAAGTAACGAACACTAAGATCACCATCCTAGGTTTCATATAAACACATGAACAAGAATTGAAATCTCTCTCTCTCTCTCGTGTCTGAAATTCTTATCTGTGGCGATCATCACTGTATGTGTCGTTTATAAGGTGACCACAAATGGCTTGTAAGTCTTAAGTTCAGAGACAATATCGGCAATAGAACCGGCAGCAGCTGCTAAAGAAATGACGAGGCAAGCAACACTAAGCATTTGGAGGCAGATCCATTTGGTGCTCCACTTTGGTATTCTCTTCTGGTTTATGTACATCTCCACCGGGAAATACACGGTGAGGGGCCAAAACCCAAGAGCTCCGAGAAACCCCACAACGCCACCGAAGAATGGGAGAAGCATCGATATCACAGTGGTTATGATCACAAAAATGGTCCTCCAGACCAATCGGAAGAGGTTGAGTTGGTAGGGTGATCGGAGACCAGGGATAGGAACTTCAATATCTCTGTTGATGAAATTGCTTTCTGGGAATCTATCTGATGCTGCTTTCTCAATGAAAGAGAAGAGAGGTTGGCAGTAAACTTGGTAAGCACCGACTAGGTGGATAACTATGGCAGCATTGGCTATGTCTAGGAGCCAATATGGTTTGTAGAAGCCGAAACCAGTGAGGAGGTTTCCTGGGCTTGAGTCCCCAAATGCAGCATAGCCGAAGCAACCACATAGCATGTAGAAAAGTGTCGTCACTGTAACACTGATAAAAGTGGCCTTCTTCATTGTTTTTGATTCCGCTGGCGGGGATTTCACCGTGTCCTGTTTTTGTCACATGCTTCTTTTAGTTTCATACTCTCCGTCATCAAAAATGAGTTCACAGGTATGAATCTTGAAAGTGCAGTGAACAGAATATACCTGGATTTCTATGAGGATCATTGAGTAAGAGTAAGCGAAGGCTATGTCACCCAGAGCTTGGAAACTCCTCCAGACTTTCTGTGTCTCCGTCACCATTTGAGAGCCCACGACAGAACCCACGCTTATCCCTGTTAGGCTTCCTCTAATTCTCTTGTTTTCTGTGAACAGATGATCAGTGTAATTGAGATCATCATCCCCAATAGAATTAAAAATACTAGGGGAAAAAAGTAAAATTTATGAGTAGTAATCAGACTGGTAATTGAATCATACCAATAGTCTGAGCAACACCGAGGCCCAGCCCAATGGTTGAGTAAGTGAAGGACATGATAGCAGCTACAATGGATAGCCACCACAGTTGATCGAAGTCTGGAATTTGAGACACGATAATCTCCGCGATCCCAAATGCAATCATGTACGCATCACCATTCATCGTGCACTCGTCTTTGCTCCCGGTCTCGTGAATGCAGTTAGACTTTTTGATTGCCCTGTTTTGTGTTTAAAAAAATAATCCAAAAGAGCCGATGAGCATAATAATTAACATCTTGCTCTCCCAAACATAACTACAATTCCATACTTACATCATGCTTATGGAAGCTGCAATAGTGTATCCGATGGCGACTCCGAAAAGGTTCACATACTGAACCAGCCCGCAAATCTTGACCTTAAAGCCGCCTGAACGCACACAACCACCCAACTAAGCTGGAAATTTTCACACGGACCAACACATTAAATAAATCGAGTCAGGCAGAAGAAGCTGAACATACCGAGGTTCGATCGAACGGCGTCCATGTAAGTGTAGTTTCTCTTGCCAGTTAAAGGGTCGCCGGAACGATAGCAGACGGCGAGGAGAGTGGAGGTGTAGTAAGTGACGAAAGAGAAGAGAATCATCACGGCCGGACCCGCAATCCATCCAAGTTGAGCGATGGCCCAGGCCAGGGACAGCACGCCGGAGCCTATGACGGCGGTGATGATGTGGGCACTCGCGGTCCACACGGTCCCTGTTTTCTCGAACACAAAACATAATGAACCAATGAGAAAAATAAGCGAGCACGCGAACAAGGAGGCAGGGGGTTTTGGGGGAAGAAATCGGGGAAGTTACCAGTTCGTTTTAGGCGGCCATCGTCGTCGAAGCACTTGGAGCCGCCCTGATGAGCCACGTCAATGGAGACTTCAAATGGTGGACGGTTGGTGGTGGTGCCGTTCTCGACCATGTTGGAGGCGGGAGGAAGGCACCCCGGGCGTTAGCTGTGCGGGAGCAAGACGGGAGCGTGAAAAAAGACGCAGAGGAGGGAAGAGGAAGTTTGAATTGATGAGTTAGAGAGAAGGAGGAGTGAGTGTCCCACAGTTGAATCAACCTGGTTCAGAGGGAGAAGGACACAGACACACGTCCCAACAGTACTCACAGAATCGCAGAGAGGAAGAGGGAGAGGGAGAGAGCGTGGGTTGAGGACAAAGTGGTGGTGTGGAGGTGGGAGGATACGACGGAAGAGAGATGAGAGAGCAGCGAGAGGCGTGTTGTGAATTGTGATTGTGATGCAATGAAGAGGGAAGATGGGGTATAAATAAAGAGTGGGGGAGAGAGGAAGGAGGACCGAACGGGGCTTCAACAGGCAACGAGGACACCACGTGACGCAATTACCTCCAAACACTGTTTCTTCTCCAGCCCCTGTCACTCAATCCGTGTGTGCTTTCTTTTGTTTTGTTTTATTTTTTTTCAAAGCAATTAATACAAAACAAATGATATAATACTAGTAATCCCTCTATTTTAAAATATAAATATTTTTTAAAAATAAAAAATTTTATTAAATAAATTTTTTTTAATATTATCCTCCTCATTTTGTTTAATTTCCATTTTCTTAATATATTAAATAAAAATATTTTAAAAAAATTATATTTTTATTTAAAAAATAAAATTATTAATTATATTTAAGAAATTTTATTGAATGGTGAAAATTTTTTTAAAAGTATTTTATAATTTAAAACGTAGGAGGGAGTATAATACACCCACTGCAAACTACATAGTAACTAACGGAAGGCAAGACTCGGAAGAGGTCGAGGATAAGTTGAACTCCTTTGCTTCTTTTTTTTTTTTTTTTTGAGCCTAAAAATACTAATTTGAGTTGACTTTTTTTGATTTTGGGGTATCTTTCACTTGCTTCTATCTAATGAAATCGGATGATGACACCAAAAAAGTTAAATACAGGTATTTTTAATAATTTTCAATCTGTTTCCCACACGTTGCCAATTTCGTAGTCTGTGCTAGAGCATGCAGCTCGCCTCACTAGAATTAAGAGTGGGAATAAATAGATGCTCCCTCCCATCTTTATTACAGTTACAGGCCATCTATTTTTGAAATATTTCATGATCCTGCATATAGTAAGTCATATTGCAAGACATCTAGAGCATTAAATTTATTTGGACACAAGTACCTTTGTATTAGAAACTGTTTTGTTGATCCAACAAAAAATGATCAACTTGATGAGCATCTGAATCACAATCTCATTGATTCAAATTTCACTATCAATATAAGAATATTGTTAGCTAGTAATTTGTGAGTGCTGTTTAAGTTTGAAGGCGTGTACTAACTCAAATGAGCTTTAAGACATAGCTCACTTAATATATATATATATATATATATATGTTGCCTCCATCTTCAAATGTTAAATACTTGTTCGGGTGTTTTGGTGGTACACAAATCACTGGACGTTTCTTGCACTATTAAATATATATTTTTCAAATGCCCCTAATTAAATAAAGCGAGAGTGAGAAATTTAGGATTTATCGGAAGACAATGACATCCATTAATAGATGGGAAATTTGAAGAAATAAATTAGTTGTAATTGTCTTTGGGAATGGAAAATGGAACGCATTGGCCATAGAATGCAATCGAGTGCAGGAAATAAACAACAGTAAAGGAGAGAAAAGATGCAAGATTGGCGATCACACGTACCTTTGAAATGAATATGTAATTGAAGAAGCAAAACGACAGCGGAGCGGGAGAGAGGAGGGAGGGGAATTAGAATAGCTGCGTGTGGTGTGGGGAGTAATGGGGAGAAGGATTATATAGAGAGAATGGGGAGAGGCCATATTGTTATTTAAGATATTAGAATGATGCGTCTCTTTAAAGGAGCACCCTTGAATCCAAAATGCTCTTAATTATGCTCCGCTCTTCTCCTCCACCCTTACTCGCATCTGGTTCCTTTCATCATTGTCATGTATTTGTATCCTTCACTATTTTATTTTCATCATTCAATTTATCTTTCCCAATATGCGCCATATTTTTACCACTCCATAATTATCTTATGCCGCCCATGCTATCATTTAATTATTTAATATTCAGATATATAGTAGGGATCCTGCAGGGAATATACATTACATACATCTATATAATCTTTAATTTGTGTGCGTGTATATGATCAATGAGTACTACGCTTATGGGTCGCATCTTAATTATTCTTATCTCCTGTAATTCATCCCGTCGGTTATTTCTACTATTACATTGCGGCTATTTCTTGCTTGCCTCAGGCTCCACTTCTGATCTGGCTTTCTGTCCTTATTTCAAAAATTACCGTTGCTTTGGCTGGATGCACCAGGCGTGTACGTACGTGCCCTGCCCTTCCTGCCAAATTCAATTATTGCTATGAAGCGGCTGGGAGTTTTTATTAAACCTAATTAATATTGCGTAATTAATTAAATTTCTTCATCAATCATATATATTCAGCTGGAACCTCTCACGTTAAATTGTTTCTCACTGTTTATTTGCCCCCAGAATATACAACCAAAAAGCGGGGAGAAGTGCCTTCACATATAGTTGGACCCTATCTACTATTACTTGCATTAGAATAGATACAATGCTAAAAAGATAAATCATGTTTCACAAAAATTTTATAATATGACACGACTATTGTTAATTCAGGGAAAAAAAAAGAAAAAGTATTCAGGCTGCAGGAATCGATCCTCGAGGCTCACGTTGGGCGACATAAACGTGAATTAGGTACCTAGCTCATTATTAAAGAAGCCAACAATCTCATATATAAGTGGGCAACTATATATGGGTGTAAGACCACCTTTTCCAAAATTCCATTGAGTCGTTGTAGATTGACTAGTATCAAATTATGATATCCACTGTCCGTTAAAAAAATATAAAATATTTTTAAATTTAATTATACTTTTCAATAAGTCAGTTACCTCTTGCTTTAAACTTATATTATATTTTCATGTTTTCCTTTATTTAGCGAGGAGTAAAGGTAAATGGTCTAGTAATTTATTCATTAATGATTTTTTTAAAATATATTAATTATATATTAAAAATTAAAAATATTTTATATTTTTAAATATCTAACTTAAAAAAATATCTTATATTTTATAAAGGGAAGTAACAATTCAAGGCACGGTTTAATTTTGAAAACTTCACCGCTTGTTTAATTTAGGGTAACAAGGTACGGAAAGAATATTGAACGGGATTTACCAAGAAGTGATATGTTTTTGGGGCAAATACTGAAAAAGACTGACAGTGAGGATTAATGTTTAATTTAGAGTATCGAGTTGTTTGCATGTATACCTACACTGCTATATATTGCTGGCCCAATTAATACTTAGGCAATACAGCTGATACCTAAATTAAACTATGACAAGACAAGAAACATTGGTGCTTGGACTTTGTATCGGAATATGATCATAGATGTGCAAGAAATTTATGTTGTCAGAAATTTATTTATTTATTTTTAAGAGGATGGCACGAAAATGCCCCTTACATATGCAAATGGTAATAAAATCTTGTGAAATACCATAATTTTTTTTTAAATTCTTAAAGACCTCTCTTGACATTAATAATTTTTTATAAAATGATTACAATACTTCTGTTTTACAATTAAAAAATAATTATAGCCCCTAAAAAAGTAATGACTATGTTAGTTTAGACAATGATTATTTTTTTATAATGACTAGAACGAAATAAATAATTATAACTTTTCATGTATAAATTTTTTATTCATTGAAATTCAATGTAAATATCCATAATTGTTTTAATTTAAAAAATAATTAAAATAGAATAAGCAATTATAACTTCTACTATACAATTTTTGATTTAATGAAGTCCAATCCAAGTGAGATAAATATAAATGACTACTTTAATTTAAATATTAATTACTTTTATTCTAATAATGATTAAACAAAACAAGTAATTGCAATTTTTTCTATGCAAATTTTTATTCCTTGAAGTCTAAGCACAATAAATATCAATAACTATTTTGGTTTAGGTAACCATTATATTTCTTCTAACAATTATTAAAATAAAATAAGTAATTACAACTTTTTTTAATGTGAGCAGCAAGGAGTTGCTCAAAGAAAGTTATAATTGCTTCTTCAATTTTAATCACTGCTAGAAGGAAAGTGGTCGTTACTTGAAAAATTAAACTAATCACTATTTTTTTTAGTAAGAGTTTACTTTTTAGGGAGTATTTTAATCATTTCATCAAAAATCACTAATATTAGGAAGGTCTCTAAGAACTTGAAAAAAAAGTATGACATTTCACAAGATCTCATAATTATTTGCATATTTTAGGATGATTTTCTATCATTTTCCCATAATTTTTTCTGGCCCGAACAAGTAATAGAGGAACAAATTTATTAAGTACCACTAGACAAGTGCTTTAATTGAACACCGTGTGATGAAGAGATTAAATTAATTAACATATCACAGCTGTTGTGATCTAGATCTTTGTTTGTCTCAGTTGATATATGCCATATATAGTGTTGAATGTGGAGATGAGATCGATCATTTGACGGGGCTAACTATCAACGAACCCGCTTCAAGAATTTTTCCTGGCCAGAACTCGTTTCAAGAATTTTAATTCCACACAACTCATCTTGGAAATATCCTATACATATCGTTTTGGGGTTCAATTCAATTCAATATATTTGAATTATCAAACAGTCACGTACAAAATTCCTGACCAAAAGGGTTGGAAGTGAAGCAATGTAATTGGAAACATGGAACAAATATGACACGAAATCAACTTTACAGTTTCAATCACTGGGAAAATTTCAGTCTAAATCCTTTAACAAACCATAATAAAAAAAAGAGCTCCTTGGAGTCTAAAATTTCATTACAGATTAGGGGTAGTGAAATAAAATTAAAATTACTTCATTGTCCCTAATGGCTTAAGCCTATTAAAAAACACTTGAAAATTTTTCATATTAAAATTATTCATTTCCTGTACAAAGTGGTTGATTTTTTTAACAAAGTTGTTTATGTACATAATTTCACTTGATTTCATTCTTACTATTATTTTTGCGATAAAAATAATTGTAAATTCTCTGTATTGTAGTTGTTTATTATCCATACTGAAGTAATTATTTTTCTTACAAGATTTGCTTGTATATATAACTTCACTTGATTTTATTCTTACTGCTGTTGTTACAGTAAAAATAGTTATAAATTTTTTATACTGAAATTGTTCGTCTCTCGTATTGAAATAATTATTTTTTCAACAAGAGTTATTGCTGTGCATAGCTTCACTTATTTTTATTTAAATTATTGTCATCATAGCAAATAAAGCTGCTAATTTTTCACAATAAAATTGTTCATTCTCAAGTAGTTAATTTTTTTATCAGAATTTTTTGTACGTAGAGTTAATTTTTCACTAGGAAAAATAAGATAATTTTAGTTTGTATTTTGATTTTATTTCACTGCTCTTTGTTTGCAATGAAATTCAAACTTTAAGGACTTTTTTTTTATTGTGTCGAGTCAAGCGGCCTAAAATGAATTTTTTCTTAAATGATGAGCAAGCAATCTACCCGATTGACAGTTTGAGGGTGTGAAAAAAGTGAGTTTCATGCAATCAAATTCACTACTTCGATTACCTTTTTGATTGGCTTTTTAATTAACTAGTATGATATTCATGCTGTGCACGTTATATCTTTTTAACCTAAAATAAAATTATTTTAGAATATTAACTAATACAGATGAAAAAAATTTAAATAAAATAATTGTAATATTAACCAATAAGACAAGTGCAACAATTACCTTTTTAATTGGTTTTTTTATTAACTAGTATGGTATTCATGCTATGCATGTTGTATTTTTGTAACCTAAAATAAAATTATTTTAGAATATTAACTAATATAGATGAAAAAAATTAAATAAAATAAGTTACAATATTAACCAATAAGACAAGCACAGAATTATGAAAATAAAAAAATAAAGAACTTATCATGAATCCCTGAATGCCCAAAACCAAATGGTAGCCTCCCTCTCCATACTTTTAGCCTAGCCATCCACCAATCTTCTTCACTATGTTTTGTTTTCACTCTCAAAGGGAAGTCACCGTGGTTGATCAAGTCTAGCATTCCACAATTATATATAAATTAAAACTTTCAAATTTTCAAATTAAAAATTTAAAATTAAAGATAGATCATTAAAATGTTATTGAGAATTAAGAAATTTGAATCACTATGAGTAAATTATTATAAGAATACTTTTCAAAACAAAATTTTACAAAGAGTTGCCTAAGAGTCAAGATATACGTGGAGTGAAGAAAAATTAATTTGCATTGATTTCAAGAACAGCAACAATATATATCTTCCTCTTCATTCAATTTTAATATACTTGAAGAGTTGTAAAATAATTAACAAATTATTATACAATTTACCATAAATACTTCAAAAACTAACAAACTCTATGAAACCATAACTTCGTGAAAAATAAAGTGTAGTAAGTTCTTTCAATTTTATTACTTATGAAAGAGAGATTTAGAATGACGAAGAAAAATTCGTAAAAAATATATGTAATGCATGATTATGTGCAACTACTTAGTATCCATGGTAAATGTGAGATCTATCAAAAATTGAATTGCTCTTTCAATGTCTATAAGGACTTAATAACCTCATTTTGCCATCAGGTGGGAATGAAAAACCA